GGCCTGTCTCTGCTGGAGCTCAGAGTTACTTCCAGAGGGCCGGGGCATTCTGCCACTTACCCATGCAGGAAAGGTGCCTCATTTATTTCATGTATGTGCTCCAGTGTAATGTGACAGTGTGGATATGGCAATACGGCAGAGTTAGTTATCAAAACCACAAAATCCATCCATCCACCCTGACGAGCGTCGCTGGGTTTGCTGGAGCTTATCGCAGTTGACTTTGGGCAGCAAGCGGCGTACACCCTGAACTGACTGCCAGCCAGTTGCATAGACAAACAACCATCCGCGCTCACACTCACACCTGGGGACAATTTAGAGTATTCCAGTAACTTGTCATGCATGTTTTTGGAATGCGGGAGGAAACCAGGATAGCCGGAGAAAACCCACACAGGCACGGGGAGAACATGCAAACTCCACACAGGAAGGCCGAAGGCGGAATCGAACCCTGCACCTCTGCACTGCGAGGTGGACGTGCTAACCAGTCGCACACCGTGCTGCCCAAGCCCAAACTCCCATTTATCAAATGTTCCCTGGAGACATGAGGGTGGCCGGAGAGTGGCCATTGGTGGCCCTGGCCACCAAGGAGTTCTGCCCCTGATTGAACCCAACATTTATATATTTTGTTGCAAGTAATGTTTACATTCATATATTTTTATTGTGCAATACAGTGTTAAGTCTTATGCAAAACTGTGCTGCAAAATATAAAGTATAAATAGTATTTCATGAAATCTCGAATAATGTTCAGATTAATGTTTTGATCAGTGGTACTTTGGCTACCTCCTTAACAAACCTCAAGTGTCACTAAACTGTTCAATCCATTTTGTCTCTTAAAATATAATACAGAGTGAAAAGCTGTATTCTTCTACAATTACTGTAAGCATCCGCCCGTATACAGGAGGTAAAAAAAAAAAGGAATGTTGAATACTGAGAATGCTGAAAATGAAGTCTTGATGTCCAAAACCATCTTATAAACAAGTATCCCCTTGTTGGGAGTCACTGTCCTTCTGGTTTTCATCCTCACTCTTGCGTTCTGCTCAGTATCTGTTAGATGGGCCTTATCACAATTTGGGAACTTGAGAATTAACATCAACAAGACCCTGTTCTCTCACTGCTTGTTTAATTGGCTCTTTCCGGACATAATGCCCTGACTGTGACATGAATACATAATACAGGGACACGGGACTTCAAATTTAACAGCTAATCATCAGTTCCTGTTACCCCTTAATTATTTGAGTTTGCTGAGTGTCTCTTCTGTTTGGGGCTGTTACTTCATCTAAGCATCCACCTGTTTCTAAGGTTTGCAGTAAAGTCTTTTTATTTTCTTCATGTGACCAAATGCAAAACAGCAGCCTAATTTGTCCAAACTTTTTTTTTGTCTCTTTATTCATCAAAAACAAGCACGTACTCATAAAAACATAAAATTGAGCACAAACTCAAAATAAAGCAAACTGTGCATAACAAGAACATTAACTCTAAACTAAATACATTAAAATTAACACTAATGTCAAATAATTATCATGAAACCAATGAATAAAATAAAAAAGAGGTCTAATCAGAACATTTAAATCTTCCTATTATCATATACCATTGAGGCTTGCTTTGTTTTAATCCTCCTCAATGTCCTTCCGAAACTTTCGATTTCCTTCCAATAACCCCCAAAACAGTGGTTGACATTACGTAAACCTACACCTATGAATACATTGTTTTGCCATTATCATCAAAGTGTTGATCGGTATTTCCCTTTTGCTGTTTTGCAGTACCGTCCCATATTTATTGTTCTTAAATTCCAGTGTGGGTAAATCATGGTCATCTGTCAGACTTTTTTTTTTCCACCTCAGCCTGTCTACTCATAGCAGGGAGGCTAGCATTATTTGTAATATGTATTGTTGGCTTTATTTGACACGTTCTGTTGTCACTTGGGCCGCACAGTGGTCGACTGCTTAGGTTGACTTGTCAACATTCCAAAGTTGATTTTAATTTAACAGTTTATGAAAAGCCTCTCGGATTTCATTGTGGATCTTGGTCACTTGTGAAAGAAAATAGACAGACATGAAAGAAATGGCATTTAAGCTGCAAGTAGTCTGAAGATTTCTAATCATTTTGTGACATTTTCAGAGGTTGAAGTGGGCCGAAGTAAAATTGTCCACATATATTATGGAGCCGATTTATCACAGTTTATTTATAGTTTATTTATTCACACTGTTACCCATGTATTTGCAATGATTTTGTATGGACAAATAGTCTCCAGGTCCTGCTGTGGCTCACACCAAGATATGAAGGGAGATAAGGGGGGGGGGGGGGGGGGGGCGGGGGGGGGGGGGGGGGGGGTGTGGCCATATTGCATATTTTCACTAGACGATTTCAAAGCCTTAATTTTATTGTTTTTTAAAGACTTCTCCAAATTAAATGGATAACATTGAAAATGCAAGCTGATGTCATTTTCCTGACAAAAATATTCATAAATTGAGCTTATTAGTGAAAAATGGGCCATAGCGCCAGATGATCCCTTTAAGGTTTGGAAAAAAAAAAGGCAGTGACGTAAAGGCCTCCCAGGTCCTCAAGTGGTACTAATGTTACATTTGTGGTAGGTGGTAAGTTGGACTTTTCTGACCTCTTTCATTTTCGTTTGTTTATTGAACATAAAACATATACAGTAATAATTTGAAGGAAAAAGTAAGGTAAGTAAAATAGTAAAAAGGAAAGAGAAATCAGTCATCATTCAACACAATTATTATGTTCAAGGGAGTAGGAAGAAGTAAAAAACTTATCTAGTCCTACCCCGTGTATTGTGTTTATTTATAAATAAATCATTTTTATATCAATCAGAAAAGAAAGAAAGTAAGGAGAAAGAAGTCTCCATTAAGGCTCATGCTTTACCCTTAACCGTGATATTTTTACAACTTTTGGTTTGTATCGGGATTTTATACATACACACCCTGGCACTCTTGTGTCAATTTTCTCTTGCATTCATAATGGATATTGCAGTACCTTTCTCTATTTATCAATTTAGTTATGATTTATTATGATATTTAATTAATAATCTGACCAGGGAAAGTACACTGTTGTGTTCCAGCAAGTTATTGGGTGAAATGAATGAAATGCTTTGAACACAAGATATTACTTAATTATCATTATTATCCATCCATCCATCTTCCGATGGATGGATGGATAATAATGGAGCCTATCCCAGCCATCTTCGGCAGTAGGCGGGGGACACCCTGAACCGGATGCCAGCCCATCGCAAGGCACACACAGACGAACAACCATCCGCGCTCACACCCACACAGACGGACAATTTGGAGTGTTCAATCAGCCTGCCGTGCATGTTTTTGAAATGTGTGAGGAAACCGGAGTACCCGGAGAAAAACCACGCAGGCCCGGGGAGAACATGCAAACTCCACACAGGGAGGCTGGAGCAGGAATTAAACCTGGTACCTCTGCACTGTGAGGTCGACGCACTAACCATTGGCCCACCGGGCCGCCATTATTATTATTATTATTATTTTATAAATACTGTCAAGGAAATTATGAAGGAATGATTGAGGCTCCAGTGAGCCCACGACCCTTGGGAGGATAAGCAGATTAGACAATGGGTGGACAGATGAATGTTTCTTAGTGGTCAAAATGTGTTGTGATGAACCAGAATAACAATTTATCAGAATCAGTCGTCTTTGTTGTTTTGCCTGGAATGCTTTGCAGTCGTAACTGTGACAGTCCAAATGGGATAAACCCGTGCCTTTCAAGGTGACTCAGTTGGGAGAGGCCACTGCTTTGGGCCCCCACCCTTTGAACTGAATACACCAGCGAATTATTTGGGAAATGCCTTCCCTTTTCTGTCATTTATGGCCACCCTGTGTGATGTCTTACAGTTTTTCTCCATTGGTTTGTCTTGTTTCTTGAAACTGAAATTACGTTCTTAAAACTAAATGGTCATTTGGCCAAACAGTTTTACAGGTCTGCTTGACAGTACAACTCATTAGCAATAGCTCATATCGCTCCCAAAACTGTTAACACATGCTTCAAACTAGATCCCTTTCTAATATAAGTGGTCAGTACCACCAAAATTGCAAAGATTCTTCTCAATTGCTTTGGCATATTTGCATTCACTCCGTGTTTTTGCCCCCCAAAAACGTGGATGGTTCGGCACAACATCACTGATTATCTGCAAAAGCTTATATCTATTTCAAAGCAGTTCCCCCATGTGTCAAAACCAAATTCCTTTCTCACATATATTACCGGTAGTCCCCCGCAAAATGCATCATCCCTTTGGCATTGTATAATTCAGTGAAAGTCAAAATGCTTAGATGTTTCGTCACTAGCTAACAGAATGCAATAATGTATAAAACTGTGGGGGGGGGGGGGTATTTATCTGATTTAAAAAAAGAAGTAGCTTCATTCCATCAACCTTTATCCAATGTTCCTAGAAATTCATAGATGGTGTTCATGGTGTAAAGTTCTTGACTAATTTTGACAAGTGTGCAGATGATGACTTCCACAATGAAATCATGCAGATATGTTTTGGAGAGCACAACCATTGGACTGAGAATCAATTAATTCATTTTGATCAGCAATTTATATTTATTTTGAAAATGTGCTGTTGGTGGGCTTATTGTGCTAATTGTAGGCTATTCGTGCATTTGCAAGACATTTGCAGTTTGATGAAAGCAATGAGAAATTACATTCTGTTGTGAACACTTGCAAGGTGGCGTGGAGATTTGTACATTTTATATAGAGATTGTCATTTCTGTTCAAAGAAATGAGCCAAACCAACAGAGGAAAAACGGTAGTAATTAGTCCAACTCTGAAGTTTTGTGTGCTGGTAGAACCATATTTTTGGGGCAAAAAAATATTACCGAAATTTCACATTGTATAATATTACTTACACAAAGACCTCATCTACGAACGAACTGGCCCATCCATCCGTTTTAAAATTCAAATGTGTCCCCATAGTTGAAGTGAATTCACTTGACAAATAGTAGTCGTGAACGCACAGAGAACGCTAGTTCGGTCAGTACGTCACGCATGCCCCTCCTCCTTTCCCCCTCACAGGACGACTACTTAGCTCGAAAAAACTTCCAGTAAAGTCACCCAGATTCCCTTTTCGTTGTATCTAGTCTTTCAGATGGTGGCGCACTTTATATTGATAGCTGAGGCGGGTGGTTTCGGTTGATAGAAAGTGTAAAAAAAAAAAATAAATAAACCAAGAAAGAAAAAAAAAACAACAGCAAAAACCCGACGTGCAAAACCTTTTTAATCGCTTTGTTGGGGTCAGTAACCTGTGAGGGAACTCAAAGGCATTAACAGGGGAGAAACTTTGTATACTGGGATTTATCTTGTTGACAGCACTCAAACGTTTTTGGTCATTTTCCCCACTACCAGTGGACTAAAGCAAATTCCTGTTAAATTCTGAAGGAAGCTACCAGCACACCTGCTTTCAGAGACGACAAGGTGAGCCTCTTTAAAATTGAGTTTTAATTTAGAGAGCTGAGCCGTTTGTGGAGAAACAATTACTAAGCGCTAATGTTTGTTGAAGTTTTAGCCATTTGCCATTTAGCCAAAACGTAAATGTGTGTAAATATTGTCAGTTAAAATATTTTTCTGGAGTCCAAAGAGACAAATAGCATAGGAATAGGTCTGTGTTGTGTGTACCTAAAATAAAACATGAATAACAATAACAGAATTATCTATCTATCTATCTATCTATCTATCTATCTATCTATCTATCTATCTGTTCATCCGTCTGTCTGTCTGTCTGTCCATCCAGCCACACATATGTATGTATGAGTTACACAATTTGGTTTGCTATTTATGGTTAAGTTCAAACTTGCAGGTTCTTTGCCACTTTCCGTCTTTTTAGTGGAGTTGGTGACACAAGAAATCAAGGGAGGAAAGAAGGAATACAGGAGGAGGAGAACTTCAACAGTTGTTTTCTCCTTCCTACTCTGCAAAGATGTATGCTGAAAAAATTGTAAAAGAGGGGAAGATGGGTAAATGACACACACACACACACACACACACACACACACACACACACACACACACACACACACACACGTGCGGACGCACACGTTCAAATTAAAACATGTTGATGGTCAAGTTGCATGTTGTTTTGCATTTGGACAGGGAGCAGACATCAGTCCATTTGACAATTGTTAACTATTAACAGATTTGTTCCAAGCTGACTGCTTATCCTCTGTTTGTCAATTCAACATCCCAGACAAGATAAATGATCTATTCCTATCTGTTTGGTCAATACTCAAAGAATGGCAGCAAATGAGCTTATGTGGTCCTTCCTTGCCTTGCTGAAGAGATGCTCAAAGTGAGTGCCACGGATGAGTTGCTTATGAAGTACAGTATTTGCACTTGCAGCTTTGGGCAGTTCCCTATCTAGCTGTGTGCACAATCTGGGCCTTGCTGTGTGTGAGAAGTTGTGTGTGAAAATAGAAAGAATAATCAGCCAGTGGACTGTATTGTATGGCACTGTGTTTTTATGCAATGTGACCCCTGACATCGACTGAGGTCTCCGGCTGATTATTATTTTTTAAACCGCTATCTTTGCTGTGAGGAAGCAAGCTGTCTTTGGTGCGGAGACATTATGGCCTTGTTTCCTATTTAAATTGTAGTGAAGTTATGTTGAATTTAGCTGAGCATTGTTTTTGAAAAAACTCAACGAAATGAAAACGGATGAATCAAAAAAAAAAAAAAGATCTGGATTTCTAGTTTGTTTTAGAATTTGTTTCCCAAAGTCCAAATGTCAGTAACAGGTCAAAAGGATATTCACTGCTGTAATGTTTCTCATAAAACGGAATAAACATCAAACCACCCTAAACTTTATGGCATTTTCAGTGTTATGAATGAAACTGATCATTCCTCACGACTAATTGAGAAGACTTTCCGCTGCTGTTCCATTTCTGTCACGTGTGAAAATGGCACACCTATCGTTACCCGTATGTACATCGAGTGGAATTATTTCAACATAACCCAGAAAAAAAATGCCTCTCTTGTCCACGTATGTATCTGCTCCAATTAAGCAGAAATAACCCGGCAGCTCAAAGCATTAATGGATCCCTGAAAAAAAGAAAAAAAAAAAAGACCCACAATAGTGGTGTCAGGTAGAACTGGACAAGAGAGTTGTTGTTCTTGCTTTAGGTGTGATTGCTTGAATAGATGCTCTGAGGGAAAAAATGTTTATCATCACGGTAGTTTTTGGCCCTATTGGACACCGCCAAAGGGCTCAGGGGCAGAGGGGGTGAAGATGATTCTTAGGGCCCAGGAATAACAGGGGCCCTCGAAAATAGTATTTTCAAATATGAAATGTAAATGGTGGGGCTCAAAATGATATGTTTTCACTTGGGCCCAAAATCCCGCCAAGCTTAGACTCTTGACAAAAGCACGATGCTGGATTTGGATATTTATCTGGTCTCTTCTGCCTCTGCCCCTTGCTTATGACCTTTCCACAAAGTTTTGTGGAAGCCATTGAAACTGGGGTTGGGAACTCTGGTTCCTCAAGAGCCATTTTCTGCATGTTTTCGATCCTATCCCGAGTCCAACACACCTGATTCAACTGTTCATAATCGTTTCAGGCCTCGACAGAGCTTGCTAATGAGCTGATCATTTTAATCAGGTGTGTTGGAGTAGGGCGGGATCAAAAACAGGCAGGACCTGGATCTCCAGGAACCGGAGTTCCCTACCCCTGCATTAAAATATTTTTTCTGTTAAAAATCCGGTAAAGTGATTTTGATGGATTTGTTTCTGAATGCATGTAATTTTTTTGAAGAAAACATGCACTGTCTGAAAACAATTTAGGACTGAATTGTTGAGCTATATCGTGAAACTCTTTTTCACTATTCCAGCTGTCTGGATTTTTGAGGCGGGGTTAAAACGGGGCCCAAGTACACATTCGGGCTTACTGGCATGAGTGATCCTTAATTGCCCCACTTTATATTTAGGAAGCCTCCTCACTCCATCAGTGGCTGTCCTGCGCAATTGCAAGTTACTTTGCAACAAATAACAACACATTTCCAATACTACAGCACAGTTGTGGTAAGTATCTTACCACAGCTGTTGTTATGTAATTTGTATTATTTTGAGCTGCAGTGCCTCTGTAGTATGGGGAGCAAGGCGCTGCCTAATTGGATGGCCATGCTGGTCCATGAACCGGCACTGGCGGGGTCTAAGGAGTGGATCGGCGACGGGTTCATCCATTATTTACACTGATAAAAAAAAACAAGATATGTTGCTTGGTTTCCTCTCCACATTTGCTGTAAATGCGTCAAACAACTCGCAGCATTGTGAAATTGAAGTGAGCATGAATTTGCATGTGAATAATATTACCAAGATCACTGTGGCTCTATTGTTGCTAAAAATAGTGGTAAAGATGAAGTGCGATGAAATGAAAAGGGAGATGCTGTCTGCGGTCACCAACTGGCGAAAGTGGTCTATAATTTCAGCTAACTTACTTTGTCCAACATTCAGCAATGTTTGCACTTTTTCGGTTTAAAAACTCCATGTCTCTTGACCCGGAGGCATCGGCTTGCCTGTGTGCCAACGCTTGGACTGTGCATGCAGGGCAGTTATGACACGATATCCTTAAGCGTGTTCTTGTGTGGACATTAGACTTGACACCAGTGGTAGACAACCGTATGGGGCTCTTTCATCCTCCTGCTGTGCCTTTTTGTGATTTTGGGAACTAAATGATGATTGTTTAATTTCACTTATACATTGGAGGATTATGGTGAATGTGACCTTTTAACAACAAAGTAGAACGTTCTATTTTTTTTAATCGCTCAAAATATGCATTACAACTGCCAATGTGCGACACCTGGCACCAAGACTTATTGAGATATTTAATTTATGAATTGTGAAGTGAAATTGTTCTTTTGAAATTGAAGTGGACAGCTGCACGCACCATGTGCGATGAAATGATGACAGAACACGGAAGCAGATGGCATTTTTGGTTTGGGGCTGGTGGAAAATTTGAAGTTTGGCTTTAATTTTATAAAGACGAGGAAGTCTCAAATATACATTGATTATTTTATTTGAAAACCAAGCACTTTTTCCAGAAATAAAATAAAATGTGTTCAAAGTTAAGGAAGTCTCAAATATACATTGATTATTTTATTTGAAAACCAATCACTTTTTCCAGAAATAAAATAAAATGTGTTCGAAGTTAAGTGATTCCATAAATCGACTCGTGTGTGTGTGTGTGTGTGTGTGTGTGTGTGTGTGTGTGTGTGTGTGCGCGCGCGCGTGTGTGTGCGCGCGTGCGCGTGTGTGCGTGCGTGTGTTTGTTTCTGTGGGAGACGGCCCAAATGGCTCTGGGTGTATAAACTTACTGACCCTTGCTTTAGACTATTGATCACTCGTCATTTATTCTCGCCATGTGCCAAACCATAGCTTGGAGTCCCTTCCAAGTCCTCTAAATTTATTTCTGTTTACACTAAAACTAGCTCATTGGTGTCTACATGACTCCATTATTCTCAATTGTTATGATTGCTAGTGTCGTTAGTTTAATTTGCATCTCTGCTGTTGAGTCTTCCACTTATTCTTGCGTGTATGCAGTGAACAGGGGGATCTCGCTCACCTGTGTGTTAACCCCTTGCCGCCTGATGGGCGTGTGTGTGATGCTCATGACCTTGGGAGCCATTGGAGCAGCAATCTGGGTCATAGGTCAGATACATACTCCAACACACGCAGTAGAAAAGACACACGTAATAAACACAACCGTATGACATTTTGCACTTCTTCAATGAACGTGCGTTTTTTTCTTGTCTCCTTTTTAGTCACATATTGCACTGTGGAGGAAGATACAGGACACTACGATGGTAATTTTTGTTCAAAACACACTGGTTTGTTTCCTGTGACCACTTGCAAACTATTGACCACTTTCACAATACATGACATCCACTACAACAGCTGTATCAAATACCGCAAGTAATGCTCAGTTTTGATTGGCAGCTGGGGGGTTTTGTTTAGCGATCCTTTAATATTATTGCTATTGTAAACTTGGTGCATTCCAGTTCTACCCCACTTGAAACTACAGGCACAATAATGCACATATTGTCCAGTTAATACTGGTACTACAAAGTCTAAACTGAGCATCATGATGTTTGGGAAGACCCGATTTTTGGTCCAACTCTTGTACTAAAGTGTGTTGTGGCTGGGTGCATATGTTCATCATCACACACGAAAAAAAAAAAAAGCTTCAGACTAAATTTTGCGTAATCCCACTAACATGCTGATTTTATCCCAAACAGTCCAAGTAAATTCTGCCGACCAACATCTCAGAATCTTCGATTCCACTCAGAAGAGGTGGCGTCAAGTGTGCTCCTCCTCAGCCAATGAGCTTCTGGCTCGGGTCAGCTGTGAGGAAGTGGGCTTTGTCAGGTGAGACGATGTCGAAAGGTCCATCGTATGACCAACGCAAAACGAATGTGTTTTTTTTAGCGTGGTGAATTACTCGATCACGTCCGTGCAAGATGTCTGAATGTGTGTTTTTTTTAGTGTGGTGAATTACTCGATCACGTCCGTGCAAGATGTCGGCAGTGATGGAGGCTTCTTCTGTGTCAGAACCGAAGAGCTGAGCTTTGGCAAGAAAATCAAAGATGCTTTGTTCCTATGGTAACTACGCTGACATTTTGATTCAATCGTGCAAGATGTGTAGAAACAGTCAAAACACTCACCTCGTTCCATTGACTTATATTAGCCATGCAAACACTCCTGCTGATTGTCCATTTGAAATCATTTTCTCTTGACTTACTGTAGATTCCACTGTACTTTAAATTCTGATTAGGTAGGTTGCTCTTCTCTTATCAAGTGTCACTTCTGTTCCAGCGACTGTGAGAGCAAGCAAGTCCTCACATTGTTATGCCAAGGTAAGATGTCAACCTGTATCATTCTCATTCCACCATTGCTTCGCCTTTGTTTTCCCTTTTCGCCCATCCCATCAGTCCCGTGACCCATTCCGTTCACATATACCCCAGAATTCAATTCCTTCTCCCTCACCAGATTGTGGCAGGCGTAGTTTTGCAGCAGACCGCATCGTCGGTGGCATGGAAGCGAGGCAAGGCATGTGGCCGTGGCAGGTCAGCTTGCAGTACAATGGAGTTCATCAGTGTGGCGGTTCGATCATCTCCGACCGCTGGATTGTCTCTGCAGCTCACTGCTTCCCCAAGTAAGAGGCGGAGCTTGATCTCATGCATGAAATTTAGTACTTTTGCACTGCATGCAAAAGTAATCACATTCTGTTCTTAAGAAATTGCCTCAATATACTAAAAAAGACTCGAGCTTCACTTAAGTTTCAGTTTAAAAAAAAAAAAAAAAAAAAAAGTAAAACTGAAATGTACTCTCGTACAAAAGTAAAATGTCAAGATAATTTTACCTGTGAATTATGTACACTACCCATTTTGATAACTTGGCGGAAAAAAAAACCCCAAACAAAAAATAAAACTTGACACAAAATAATTTCCCTGTAGATGGCGCTAATGCTGTAAAAATTGATCAGAAAAATAGATACTCAAGCAAAGCACCTCTACTTGAAAATTCCACTGAAGTAACAATTTTATTCATTCACTTCATTATTCCCGCCCTATGAGATTTCATGAGTGCACATTTACAATGATTGCCAAGGAATATCTGATCTGTATTATTCTGAAAACAATCACAGTTCACACCATATTAATTTTCTAGCATATGCGTGACATGCATAAGCATAAACATTAATTGGAGATTTCAGTCCATTAGATCACTCACAACACCACTCCAAACTGCAACCATAATAATACAAATATTGTTTAAAAAATGACTGTCACTCTTAGCTCGGGAGGCAGAATTCTGCAACAATTACAGTATATGTTGATCCCAAAGATTGTCTAAGTGTACGATAAAATACAAGAAATGTTTGATGAATAATATAATACTAATGTGCAATGTCGTTTTTTTTGTCTCTTTGTTTTTACTAGGCGTAATGGCTTTATTAGTCACTGGCGTGTGTTGATGGGCTCCATCTACAACAAACCAGCCAATGCCAACGTGGCGGAAGTGAAAACTATCGTTTACCATGGCAACTACCTGCCCTTTGTGGTCAATAGCATTGACGATCACAGCAGCGACATTGCTGTACTGGCCCTCGCTAAGCCCATCACCTTCAATGGTAAGACATAGTGAGGAAGAGAGGAACCATGCAAGCATTTTCTTCCTCATGAGCATGTCTGTTTCGTATGACCAGAGCAACAAACACAATTAACCCATTCATGCACCCCGTAACCTGATAAGCTGTCCACTGTGGTAACTGCTGTCCCTGAAAGGGTTAATATTCATCACTTACTGTACAATTGAAGCATTTGGTTCAAAGAGTTATCCTGGTCCCTTAGATAGAGCTTTTCATCAGAACTCATTAAAAGTCTAAACCAAAACAGATTTATTTCTGTGGCACTGGTGAGTGTTTTACTTGGAAGTTTATTTTTTTTCTTGTGTGTTGTTCAGCAGTGAAGCGTTTGCATGCTTTCAAAACCGCATTTCAGCTTGATCGTTTGTCCCATCTAGTGTTTGCCTTTTATAACGCTATTTTGATATGAAGGACAAAATAAAGGGGTAGCAATCCAGACTGGTGAATGCTCACAAACGGAATCTGCTTTATTACATATTTACATTGTGAGGCATGCATGATAACATACACACGATACATGTGGGGTTTTTTTTTTCTATAAATGTTTTTTTTGTGCTGTTTGTAGAATATATCCAACCCATTTGCCTGCCAGCATACGGCCAAAGAATAAGAGACGGACAGATAGGCACAGTAATAGGCTGGGGGAGCTTAGGAGACTCTGGTGAGTGGGTTTTTTTTAGGGTCACGGTATAGATGCTGATGTGAAAAAGTACCCTTATTGTTGTGTCACTTCTAATAAGACTCTATGCTTACTGTACAATAAGGCGATGAAACGGACGTTCTGCATGAGGTGAACGTCCCCGTCATCAGTGACGCTATGTGCAATGCGCCTGATTACTACTACAACCAGATCACCGGCAGCATGTTCTGTGCTGGCTTTGAGAAGGGAGGTGTGGATGCTTGCCAGGTCAGTGTGTCCCCTAATGTCTGTGCTGATGTGGCTGTAACATCCCGGTGCCATTTGGGGCCTCACACAAATACATCATAGACTCTTACATTCACTAAAAAAAAACAAAAAACAAAACTCTCACCAATAAAGTGAACGCACACCCAAAATCTCCCTCTTTCTCTCTCACACACACACACACACACACACACACACACGCACACACACACACACACACACACACACACACACACAACTTCTTGCCCTCATTAATAAACCTCTCATGAATCCCAAATAACACACACACAAAAACCCTTCTAAGCCTCTTCAAAATACCTCTCTTACACATTGAAAAACCTCTCAGGCTACAAAAGAAATTCTCAAGCTCACAGAAAACCTGTCAAGGTCACAGACACCTCTCACTTTGACGGAAAAGCATCTCACGCACATTAACTAAACCTCTCTCAGGTTCAAAAACCTCTCACACTCACCAGGAGTACTCACACGTATGACAAAAGTTACTCACCAAAACTTCTTATGTGCACCGAAAAAAATTCACTCTCAAAAGCGCGCTCGCTCGCACACACACACACACACACACCAATAAGCCTCTCACACTAACCAAAAAGAACTCACACACAAACTCATGCTCATAAAATATTGTCACGACAACCAAAATAATCCAACTCACACTGCAAAATTTTCTAACATGCTCCGTAACACCCACCCAGAAAAAGAACTCTTACACAAAGCAAACTGTCCTCTAACGTTCACCCCAAAAACTTTTATACACACAAATAAACATCTCTTAAGGGAAATCATCACACACATAAAAAACTCACACTGACTCCCTGTCAGTTGCACCAAAATACGTCTCGCTCAAAAAAATGCTCACAAAACAAAACTCTCACCTTCAAACCTGTCACACACATCTCACTAACCGAAAACATCTCACACAACTCCATAAACCACTCACACCAAAAACTCGCACTTCACCCTAAAACTCCCACACCCACTAACAAACATTGCTCTCTCTCGCTCTCTCTCTCTCTCTCTCTCTCTCTCTCTCTCTCTCTCTCTCTCTCACCAAAAATACTTGCGACAAAAAACTCCGCCCTCACCAAAAAAGCAACTCTCATTGGCACCACAAAATCCCTGAACCAGACCAAGACAATTCACTTTAAAAAAATTCTCATCCACCAAAAAAATTCTTACTCTAGCACAGGGGTGGCCAACCCGCGGCTCGCGAGCTCCATGCGGCTCTTTGGCTGGTTCAATGAAGCTCCCGGGCTTTCACGCAACAATTGTCAAACGCCTCGGCGATGGCGCTGCCATTAAAACAATGGTGCTTAATACATAGAACGTACTACGTCAGCCTATCACCAATCCCGTTACTTGATTGACATAGAGGGCAACTAGTCAGATGACTGAATCACCGCTCATGCGTAGACAACGGCACTAAGTGCTATGTGCTAAGCTAGTCAGCGAATTACCTCTGCTTTTAAGGCAGAGGTTACCAATATGTCGATCGCAATCGACCAAGAGCCAGCAGACTGGTCCCAAGTCGACCGCGAGCGGTGGGAGGAGGAAATGGGGGGAAAAAAAAAAAGGTTTGTGTCTTTAGGTTTCATTTATGTTCGGGCGCTCAGGCTGTTGCTCGTCGTGGCGTGCATGCATATGTGCGTGAGTGCATGGTCGTGTGTGTGTGTGTGTGTGTGTGTGTGTGTGTGTGTGTGTGTGTGCGTGCGCGTGCCTCTTTGCAGTAACACAGTAAAAAAATTCACTTGGTCTCTGACTGGTTGGCCACCCCTGCTCTAGCAAAAAAGAAAAAAATGCCCTGTACCGTTTTGTTTGTCCAACTGAGTAAATTTTGGGGCTTTTTGATGAAAAAGAGAACTTTCTTTGATGGGTGTTTTTTTGAGGGGGCAAGTGAGAGGTTTTGTCGTATATTCCATTGCATCATCTTTCTTGACAGATATGCTATTTGCTCACATCAATCTATCAATTGTTTTCTATCAATACGTTTCATATCTATTATTTATTTGGTGGTGTCAGGGAGATAGTGGCGGCCCCTTTATGGCAGACGACCGCTTGTCCAAAACCAGCCGATACCGTTTGCTGGGGGTGGTGAGCTGGGGAATAGAATGTGCCACGGCAAAAAAGCCAGGCGTTTACACCACGGTTTCCCGATTTCTGCCATGGATATCGACTGCCATGAGGGTAAGAGGTTTGCTACCTTATACGTGTCTCGTTTATGTAACTATTTTGCACATGATGTTCATATCTTGTTTCATTTTGTTTGGGCTTGCAGAACTATAACAACTCACCAGGGATTCACAAAATGGCACGTGCATGACTTTTGCACCCATGTTTCCATGCTTGCCTCTCTCACTAAAGAGTATTAGTGTATGTTTTCGATGGAGTCAGCTTTGGGTTCCTGATTTTTATTTTTTTTAAATCCTTCTGCATGTCTTGCTTTTTGTGTTCCCTTTTTCTGTATTCTGAATTTGTTTAGCGCAACACCCAAAAGGTCAAAGGCAACCTGACAGGTTGGTATCCTCTGCTGCCGTTGTCCAAGTGCACCTCAATTAATATGTTGATGACAATTTTCACTTTTAATGACAGATGGCCATCAAATTGCATCTTTTTGTGATGAAAAGTGCTGCGAATGGGTCGTGGCTCTGAATGGATTGGCTATAATTGCATATTTTCTTGGCCCCTTTGGCGAGCTATGTCTTGGAGATCCTGGTTGCAGAGGTTATGACTTTTCATTTTTCTTATATTCTGTGGAGGACACTGTAGATTGGTATGATTTTCTTTGCTTCGTTTCCTCAGGCACTATGAAACCAGGATTGTTGATTGCTTGTGATAATCCCACAAAGGCACTTTTATGAGACACCGCAGTAGCAATTGTAAAGAGGAAAAACAAATTGCAATCGTTGTGATACACAAAGGCTCACATTCATTTTAAAAAAATGAAAGTTCTACATTGTTCTGTGAGATTGACACCAAAGGGCGTCACTTTTGGGGACAAGTATCACTCGTTCTCAGTTGGTTCCATAAAGAACCAAGCATGATTCAGGAGTTCTATACTGCATAGCACCAAATGAGAGCCAAATCGTTCTTGGATATGAAACCAAATGGTCCTTTGGTTGGAGTTCTAAAGAACTCCTGGGTGCCTTATAGATTCAAGCATGCTATATAGAACAGTCACCTTTCTACAGGACCAGTAATGATGAAGACCTAAAAAAAAATATACCGGTATATAAAATAATAATAATAATAGTGGTGTGCAATGGTGCTGTAATATAAAACCTCTGAAATACCTTTTCTTTTTAGAGTGTTGTTTGACTTATTTTTACCGTAAGCAAATGTCATTTTAATAACTTCAATAACTACAATTATGGAAATTACAGTGTGCTCTTACCTCCTTTCTGAACTCTCTGATGAAATGTCCGAAGATTGAGGATAGACAGCTCATATTGGAATCAATATATTGTGGTCTTGTAAATAATAGCTGATGTTCTGTGTATGTAGCATGTTTTATTATCCATTGTTTGATGGATTTCCCAATAATCTGTGTCTCTTTTATGCCCACAGTGTAAAGAATCATGTGCTCAGAAGCTATATTTAGTTTTACGTCTCAATAGGTATGTACTGTATAATCACTACTCAAGCATAGTATTATATATTAGAGGTGCTCAAAGCTCCTCGACAGATGAGAAATTTGGAGCTCATTTATCCAGAATTTTTTTTTCCCCCCTGTCCTTTTGTGACCATCCAAAGATGCAACTGTAACAGAAAGAAAAGCTAGTAGAATGAGTGAATAGTTATTTGGAAAGAAAAATCACGCTGAATTTGCAAAATCAAAACACGACAATGATTGTCACTTTTTGTGTAGCTGCGCTGTATGAAAATTGTTTATTTTAATATTATAAAAATAAATACCTTAATCGAAAGGTGATTGAAGTTGAATCACTGGATCCATGAAAATGTCTTTGAAATGCTGCTCATGTTCATGTAACATTGAGTATTTTCTTCTTCTGTTAAACGTGGCAATAATTTGGAGCTACTGCACATGAATTGAGTTACATGACTGCTTGCTTTTAAAGTGAACTTACAGTGGTGTATGACAACCTGACACTGGTCAGACTGACCTGACTCTGGGTGTTTTGTAATTTCAACCACAGGAAAAAAAAAAAAAAGTTTTGCTCTAATCTCCATTTCATTGTTGCGTTTGCCCAGAGTTGTGCTGATTTAACATAAGCACCTTGTAAGTTTCCCTACATAGGAAAAATTATACAGTACACTTTTTTTTTTTTTTTACTGCTGTTTTGAGAACACATTTCAATACGATTTTGTGGGCCACCTTTGTAGTGTTTTTGAATTTGTGGTTTTGGCAAGATGGAGCTCCATCTCATTGTGGTATTCATGTGCGTCAATGGTCAAATCAGCAGTTTCCAGATGCTTGGATTGGTCAGTGTGGTCTTGCGTTATGGCCTCCCACACCCCCAGATCTCACCTCACTTAACTTTCATCTTTTGGAACGGACCATTGTATATGCGGAAAAAAAATACAAAATCATCTCAAGGAATATTACAACAACGCCGTGACAGTGCGTTAAGACGTGTTCTTGAGCTCAACTCTTGAAGTGTGTTTTCAAAACAACGAGAGTCATATAGAGCCTATTATATCGACAAAAATGGTTTTCATTAAAAAAAAAATAAAAAGTGGATGAAAATGTTCGAATGAGAGTCTGAATTTGTCATTTTAAGATTAGAGCACAACAAAACTTTGCTTCATTCACATAGTTATGATTGCTTCTGGATAACACCGAAAAAAAGCAGCTGTGTCGCTCACATACATTTTATTTACAAGTGTAAACACAGTATGTGATACAAATATGAACTATAACCGTGTGTGTGTGTGTGTGTGTGTGTGTGTGTGTGTGTGTGTGTGTGTGTGTGTGAGAGAGAGAGAGAGTTTTCTATTGTATGTACATGCATAGTGTGTGTAAGCTCATCGGTACAGTGGTAGTAAAACAAAGAACAAATGTAATAGCTTCGATTAAGTTGACTTTATGAGTAAATGCAGCCTCGTTCATAATAAAGCACTCAGTCGTTATATGCATATTGAAGTGTTCCACTCTAAAATGCAGCAGCAGGCTCAATTTGCATCGTGCAAAGTTGTTGTTTTCCGACCATAGATAATTTAGGATGACTTGTTTTGTGTTGCGGCACCCGAGTGCTTAGTGCATCGAAGTCACAGTGCAGAGGTACCGGGTTCGATTTCGGCTCTGACCTTCCTGTGGGGAGTTTGCATGTTCTCCCATCGGCCTGCCTGGGTTTTCTCTGAGTACTCCGGTTTCCTCTCACATTCCAAAAAACATGCATGGCAGGTGGATTGAATGCTCAAAATTGTCACTAGGGGTGAGTGTGAGCGTGAATGATTGTTCGTCTATGGGTGCCCTGCGATTGGCTGGCAACCAGTTCAGGGCTGTCAGCTTCCTACTGCCCGAAGACGGCTGGGATAGGCTCCAGCACCCCCCGCGACCCTTGTGAGGATCAAGCGATTGAGAAAATGGATGGATGTTTTATGTTGCATCGATAAGAACATGAACTCAGTTTGTTAACAGCAGAACCACAAATAAGTGTTTGGTTTAAAGCGACAGTGACAAATAAACATCTGATGAATCAGCATGTGTGATCATGTTCAGAACTCACACATTGGGGCCCTGTTTTGGTAGCCTGGCGCCCGTGCACTCAATGGAAAAAAAAAAAAAATTGTGCCAGCGCAAGTCTAGTTTACCATGTTTGGGGCTATGTGGGTATTCTGGCGCACTAAATTGCCTCTCGCCCCCAAGTCATCCGACAATATGGTAACAGAAGTGTTTGGGGCTATGTGGGTATTCTGGCGCAGTAAATTGCCTCGCCCCCAAGTCATCCGACAATATGGTAACAGAAAAAAATCTGCGCTCAGTGTAGAAATGGGTGCATCATCAACTTTTTTATGCCGGGGCAATGGTATAGTTCATCGTGTTTGTGAATTTAGTAATTTGATCATTTTGGACGCAACACCTCACTGGCTATTCCTGCTGCGCTTGCCGGCATTTATGAAAATTTGGTTACAAAAAGTAGACAACATTTTAGACTCACAAAAAGGAAGTCTAACTCAAAGGTGCAGGTGGTTTCATGCAATTTTTGGTGTATTTGATGAAGCTGCAGCCAGACAGATTGGGCGCTCTGTGGATGTGTGTGGTGTATGTCATTGGATTTCTTTGATATATATGACATCGTGGGACAATCCCTCAGAATCATTCTACAAATCAATTAATTGAATGGATTATAATCGTTATGATTGTAAAGATATGTTAACAACACCCCCTGTCAGCCGTCACGGGGTGGTGTCACACACAAACCGCCGCGACTGGGGCTCTAAGGTTAAAGTGTGGAGTCTGCCTATTGACGCCCGCGGGTTTGTACCCCGGGTGGAAAAATAAGGTTGTCTAATTTGAGTTTTTTTTTTTTTTAAACCCGGAGATGAGCATATTTTTTTTTCAAAACCCAAATATTGCCAATACTTTTTGAAAGGGTTACTCACGATATGTAAACATAGTCATAGATCGCGTCTTGTACAGCTCTTTGAAACCAGTGGGCTTCCCTTTCCGGTATGTGGACATAATTGTCCTCAAAGGAACGCCTGTCTTTATAAGATGCAAATGACCTGCTGGCTCTGGACCCGAAATATCTGCTGTTGAGCCATGTGTTTGTGTAGGCGGTTGCTTGTTTCCTCCAAAGTAGAGGTCATTTCACCCCTCACTAAATTCCAGTGCAAGAGTTTGCTTCTCAGAAATTTGTCCTTTGAGTCGAACCAGCATAGGTAACAAACCTAAGAACACTTTCTGCTTACAACTACGTTATTACATTGTGTCATTCTAAGAGGGTAGCCAGTAGGGAAGAGTGGGTACGAATCAGCCGTTTTGTCATCAGGCCGGTGAACGATCCTGCATGTCACCCGGTGGTTCACCAGCCATGCCTGGCAGCAGCATCAGCAACAATAACAACAACGCTATTGTGAGCACCCCAGGGACACCCACCCACCAGTGACATACTGAAAATGGACTCCACATTTAGACAATTAAAATTTAAGAAGACTTTTGGATTAAAGGCGAAGGTCTTCAACAAACAAACTGAGTCCAGCTGCCTCAATTTAACCATTGTAGATTACCACGACCTGAGATCTAATCAAATAAAAAAACAAACAAACATTCACACTCACATTCACACCTATGAACAATTTGAGTGAACCGATCATGCATATTGTGGGATTTGAATGTGGGAGCAAGTCGGAGTGCCTGGAGAAAAGCCCACGGAAGCACGGGAAGAACATGCAAACCCGACACAGGAAGGCCTGAGCTGAGAAACCAACTCAAACCTCCAAACTCTAAAGCAGACATGTTAACTAGAATCAATAAAGTAAAAAGACAAAGAAAACGACTGCCCTTACAACGATGATGTTACCACGATAATGACCGACATTAGCCTGCATGTGTCTTTGTCAATCTTTGACACTTATCTGTGAACAAATAACGTGTAGGTGAACCCAATGTTGTGGCCGTGAGTGTCAACGAAACTGCCTTAACCTCTATGCACTTACGTTGACGCAAAAATGGACGTCAGACCTCAACTGACTTCTCCTGTCAGTGGTGAGAACTGCAGGACGCAGACTGTGAACAACTTAAGCGGATTCCTTTGGTTTCCTGTCGCCCCCAAGTGGCAGGTTTTGGAACCGGACCTGCTCGCCCCTGAATCAACATCAGCAGCAAAAAAAAAAAAAAGCAAC